TTGAGCCATTGCAGTTTAAATTGTGCATCAAACTCCATTCATTATGTTGTTGAAAACTTTCATGATGAATCACTGGATTGCTGTGTGTTTTCCGGGCTGTATAGCCATGTTCTAGAAGCATTTTCTCCTGACATTTCGCCCACATCTATGGAAGGCATCTTCAGAGGTTGTGAAGTCTGTTGGAAACTTAGCAAGTGAGGTTTATTTATCTGTGGAATATCCAGGGTGGGAGAAATAACTATTGATTAGCATTGAATAGCCTGGCAGCTTCAAATCAAAGAATCGGAAAGGCAGCGCAGACTAATTCAACCAGAGAAGTCAGCTGTAGCAGAGCACTCGAACTAACATGGACACAACATATTATTTGAGAACACAAAATGCTGGACCACTCTAACAACCACCATGTCAGCCTACACAGAGAAGCCACTGAAATCCACAAGCACCTGGGCAATGTCAACAGAAAGGAGGAAACCATGAAAATGAACAAAATCTAACTACCAGTATGTTTTTAAAAAAACACTCTAAATTCAGGACAGTAAATAAAGAGCAAAACTCAAATTGTCCATGTGCTTGTGGATTTCAGTGGCTTCCCTGTGTAGTCTGACATGGTAGTTGTTAGAGTGGTCCAGCATTTTGTGTTCTCAAATAATTGTTTCCTGTTTGGGGAATTCCAAACAGGAAACAATCAGGGTCAGCTAACACTTCCCAACAAAGGACTCCCCCAGACAGCAACACCTAGGCTTGAGAGCTGCAAGGCTATTCAATGTGAATCAAGCTGTCCAATGGCAACATTCACACCTGCCCCCAACAGACAACAGTTCCTTCTCCCACCCTGGACATTATTCCACAGGTATATAAACCCCACTTGTCTAGTTTCCAACACACCTCACAACCTCTGGGGATGCCTACTATAGATGTGGGCAACATTAAAATGGTCAACATTAAAAAAATGTTGACCATTTCCACTACCTTGGCAGCCACCTCTCTATCAAAGTCAATTTTAGAATTTTTTAATACTGGTAGCCAGTAATGAACAAATGAACAAAGAAAATTAACAAAATCTGGCTACCAGTATTAAAAAATTCTAAAATTGCAACAGCAAAAACAGCAGAGAGAAAAACAGGCAGGGACATCTAATCACCTTTCAAGAAGAGTTTGCTCCAGGCACAGTCAGCCCATTGTATGCTAATCAAGGTGGTCAGTTGAAAGATTCACACCTAGCCCAACTTACAAAAGCCCTTTGTCTCACCTGGTCATTCCACAGATATATAAACCCCTTTTTTCCCAGTTCCAGCAGACCTCACCTCTGAGGATGCTTGCCATAGATGCAGGCGAAATGTCAGGAGAAATGCCTCTAGAACAGGGTTCCTCAAACTAAGGCCCGGGGGCCGGATGCGGCCCTCCAAGGTCATTTACCCGCCCCTCGCTCAGGGTCAACCAAAGTCTGAAACGACTTGAAAGCACACAACAACCACAATCCTGCCTCATCAGCCAAAAGCAGGCCCACACTTCCCATTGAAATACTAATAAGTTATATTTGTTAAAATTGTTCTTCATTTTAATTATTGTTGTTTTTAAGTGTTTTTTACACTACAAATAAGATATGTGCAGTGTGCACAGGAATTCATGTTTTATTTTTCAAATTATAATCCGGCCCTCCAACAGTTTGAGGGACTGTGACCTGGCCCTCTGTTTAAAAAGTTTGTGGACCCCTGACTTACAGCAATCCATTCCATTATGCTTTCGTTCCTTAACCGGAAGTGTTTTACTCCACCTTAATTCCCAATCTCTATAACCTGATGGATCTCTGCCTTCCTAAGAGAGGCTAGACTTCAGTCCCTTTTCGTTTCTTAACCTGAAGTGTAATGCGCCCACCTTCTTTCCCCTCTCTCTATAACCTGCCGGAAGTAGGCGAGGATGCCCGGAAGGAGGAGTAGGGGGAGGAAAATGGCGGCGGCGGCTGAAGTAATGCCTTGGTGCGCCTGCGCGGAGGCCGGCCGCGGTGCATGCTGGGAGGCTCCTCTTCCTTTTCCGCCTTCCCGGCGGTGACTGTGCACATATAAGACCGGCAGGAGAAGCCAAGGAGGAGGTGTTGCTGCGGCATCGTCTCTCTCGGTGGCGGGATGGTCGGGGTGAAGGCGGTCGCCAACGACGCGGAGTTCCAGGGCGAGCTCAGCGCCGCGGGGTCCCGGCTGGTGGTGGCCAAGTTCACCATGAGAGGGTGAGGGAAAGGAGGAAGGGAGAGGGAGGCCTCACCTCACGCCTGAGGCCTACTCCTTTGGCCTGGGAACTGTTGGGTTAGAGATACTGATTCAACGCAGCGACGCCAGGCATGGGCCTACTTTGGGCCTGCCTCCAGGTGTTTTGGACAGTAGTGGTTCTCAACCTGTGGGTCCCCAGATGTTTTGGCCTACAACTCCCAGAAATCCCAGCCAGTTTACCAGCTGTTAGGATTTCTGGGAGTTGAAGGCCAGAACATCTGGGGACCCACAGGTTGAGGACCACTGCCATAGGCGGTTGGGAATTGTGGGAATTGGAGTCCAATTCCCACAAATTGAATCCAGACAAGACAGAGGTCCTACTGGAGCATAGTGTCTAGATCTAGGGAAGTCATGCTACCCCTTTATTCTGCTTTGGTTAGACCACACCTGGAATATTGTGTCCAATTCTGGGCACCACAATTCAAGAGAGATATTGACAAGCTGGAATGTGTCCAGAGGAGAGCGACTAAAATGATAAAAGGTCTGGAGAACAAGCCCTATGAGGAGCGGCTAAAGGAGCTGGGCATGTTTAGCCTGAAGAAGAGAAGGCTGAGAGGGGATATGATAGCCATGTATAAATATGTGAGAGGAAAACACAGGGAGGAGGGAGCAAGCTTGTTTTCTGCTTCCCTGGAGACTAGGACGCAGAACAAACTACAAGAGAGGAGATTCCATCTGAACATGAGGAAGAACTTCCTGACTCTGAGAGCCATTCAGCAGTGGAACTCTCTGCCCCGGAGTGTGGTGGAGGCTCCTTCTTTGGAAGCTTTTAAACAGGCTGGATGGCCATCTGTCAGGGGTGATTTGAATGCAATATTCCTGCTTCATGGCAGGGGGTTGGACTGGATGGCCCATGAGGTCTCTTCCAACTCTTTGATTCTATGATTCTATGGTCAGTCGTAAGGCCGAACAGGGCATAGGGTTACAGCCTGTGTTAGATGGGGTTACACTCCCCCTGAAGACGCAGGTTCGCAGCTTGGGAGTGATCCTGGACTCATCGCTGAGCTTGAAAGCCCAGGACTCAGCAGTGGCCAGGAGAGCTTTTGCACAATTAAAACTTGTGCACCAGTTGCGCCCATACCTTGGGAAGCCAGATCTGGCCACGGTGGTCCACGCTCTCGTTACATCCCGAATAGATTACTGCAATGCTCTCTACGTGGGGTTGCCTTTGAAGACTGTTCAGAAACTTCAGCTAGTCCAGTGGGCGGCAGCCAGATTACTCACCGGAGCGTCATACAGAGAGCATACCGCCCCTCTGCTATGTCAGCTCCACTGGCTGCCGATCCAGTTCCGAGCACAATTCAAAGTGCTGGTTTTGACCCACAAAATCCTATGCGGCTCCGGTCCGGCTTACCTGGCCGAACGCATCTCCCTCTACGTACCACCTTGGAATCTGAGATCATCTGGGGAGGCCCTGCTCTCGACCCCACCTCTATCACAAGTGAGGCTGGTGGGGACAAGGAGCAGGGCCTTCTCGGTGGTGGCCCCTCACCTGTGGAACTAGCTCCCGGGGGAAATCAGATCAGCAACATCCCTCCTTTAGAAGGGAATTAAAAACGTGGTTATGGTACCAGGCCTTTGGGCAACCTGGCAGCTAAGGACAATGGACGACTAGAATTAACAGGACTGACAATGTGGAACTGAAACTATGGACTATGAGACAGTGAACGCTGAATGCTAAACTGGTTTATTGACGTGTTGTAGAACTGAGAACCGACTGTTTAATTGTTTTTAACTGTTTAAATTGCTGCTATACTGTTTATTGTTGTATTGTTGCCGGCATCGAATTGTGCCTTTGTAAACCGCTCTGAGTCCCCTTCGGGGTGAGAAGGGCGGGGTAGAAGTGTCTGAAATAAAATACCTAGAGAGCATACTCAAGTTGGTCTATGCCTGATGGAGAAGCACAGAACTCATCACATGTTCCATGGTTGAAAAGAGGCTGAAATGTCCAGAAAGGAGTGCCAGCCATCGTGTTCAGAGCTCCTACCTCTTATCACACTCTACTGCCGTCTTTGCCACTGAAAAACAGGTGTGATGGGAACCACCAAAAGTTTCCCGCCCTCTTTCATTGCCTAACCGTCAGCGGTATCTTGTAAAATTTCCTTGATTGACAATGGACAGATCTCAGATTATGACTTTGGATGTGGTCTTGGATTTGTTAGCGTTGAATTGAATCTTTTAATTTATTGTCTAGTTAATGTTTTAATTGTGATGTTATTGTTTTTATGGCATCGAATGAGTGCCAATTGTAAGCCGCTCTGAGTCCCCCTTCAGGGGTGAGAAGAGTAGGATATAAATGTCTGAAATAAAGAAATAAATGTATTGTTGAAGGCTTTCATGGCTGGAATTACTGGGTTGTTGTAGGTTTTTTGGGCTATATGGCCATGTTCTAGAGCAGTGATTCTCAACCTGGGGTCCCCAGATGTTTTTGGCCTACAACTTCCAGAAATCCTAACAGCTTTTTTTTTTGTCATGTCAGGAGTGACTTGAGAAACTGCAAGTCGCTTCTGGTGTGAGAGAATTGGCCGTCTGCAAGGATGTTGCCTAGGGGACACCCGGATGATTTGATGTTTTTCTCATCCTTGTGGGAGGCTTCTCTCATGTCCCCGCTTGGGGAGCTGGAGCTGACAGAGGGAGCTCATCCATCTCTCCCCAGATTCGAACCTGTGACCTGTCGGCACAGGGGTTTAACCCACTGCACCACCTGGGGCTCCGATGATATCAGCTGATAAACTGGCTGAGATTTCTGGGAGTTGTAGGCCAAAAACATCTTGGGACCCCAGGTTGAGAACCACTGTTCTAGAGGCATTCTCTCCTGACATTTCGCCTGCATCTATGGCAAGCATCCTCAGAGGTAGTGAGGTCTGTTGGAACAAGAAAATCTGAAGGCAGAAAATCTCACAATATCTTCTTTGAACTGGGTGAGCTGACTCCACACTGTCATTTATTCCAGTTTAAAGCAGAGACTGTGGTATTTTGTTTAGCTGGGTGAAAGGGGTCTTAGGGACATGCGTTACGAACTTTGTGGTCTACCTAGACATAGCTGTGTGCCTTCAAACCGTTTCGGATTTATGGTGACCCTTGGTGAAATTTGCTTTGGGAAAGGGTTGTCTTTGCCATCTTGTGAGAATCTCAATCAATTAACAATCTGGATATAACTGAAGTTTGTGAGCATTTTCCATAGGCAGACCCACACAGTAATCGTAATAGGATTGCAACCAAGGCATTTTACTCTGACCAATTCAAACTTCTACAAACATCTTCAAGGATAGTGTAATCCTATTCAAAGACAGTCAGCATACTATAGTAGTATTGGTATGACTGTTGGGACTACTACACTGGGATGTATACCTGCTCAGCCATGGAAACCTCAGCCTCAGAAGAAGGCAAGAGAAAGTCACCTTTGAACAAAACTTGTCAAGAAAAGTGCAGCAGGTTCATCTATGCCCCCTTATTTATTTGCCACATTTATACCCCATCTTTCTCTACCCCGGCAGGGGAACTTAAGGCAGCTTACAATGGTGCATACACAGTGCCTCAAAACAACAAAATCACCTAAAATAGTTTAAAATTGCAACATATTAGACATGATTAAAGTACATTCAAAGTTAAAAACACGCCATCCAAAGTTAAAGGTGTAAGCCATTCCAAGGTCAAATTGCACATAATTCTATATTTGGAATACTGCATTATCCTAATTTTCGAAAGCCTGCTCCCACAGCCAGGTTTTGAGACTCTTCCTGAAGGCCCTTCCACAGAGCCATATGACCAAGAATATCAAGGCAGATATCAATATCTGTTTTGAACTAGATTATCTGAGTTCACACTGCCATATAGCCCAGTTCAGTGTGGATTTTATACAGCTGTGTGGAAGGGGTCTGAGAGTTTTGCTTTCTGGGTGAGGATTCAAACCCATAGTCATAATCCAATGTACTTATTTTATTTGTTAATCACCTCTCTTGATGGCTCGAGGCAGGGTATAGCATTCAAAAACAAATGAACATAAAATATAATAAATTGTGAATACCACTGATAATTACAACGAAGAAAGATAGGAATTGGGGGAACTTAAATGTGTGTCATTGCAGAAGAATAGCTGTATTGTCATTGTGATATTGCACAACAAAATTAAATGCTTTCCTCAACACACATAACAAAACAACACACCCACCCCTCCATGCCACCTTTGCAGCACCTTCCTATCTACAGGATTAATAGGCCCTGACTTAACCTGATTCAGCAGCACTCTGATAATCTTACATTTCATCTTATGCTAGTGAAGCAATGTCCCATCCACATATACATTCTGTACATAGGGTGTCCTGGAGTCTCTATGTTGTTGTTTGAAACTCCTCTGATGTGTCACTACATCCTTCAGAGAGTTGGCTGCCTCTTTTCCCAAGCTGAACCCACACCCTAAATCCTTGGGTTTGCCATGCATTGTGACTAATTGCCATACTTCCTGCTTTGAGCAGGAATGTTTTCCAGGAGTCAGTACATGCTGTCTTTCAATATGACGGTCTGTTAAAGATTTGTCAAATCTTAATATTTTTATTCTGTGCTGCACTGAATTTGTGTCAGTGGGGTTTGTGCCGCATAGTCTGCCTCATATATCTTTCATTAAAACTTGGTTGGCTGGGAACTCCTGAATAACTGTGCTTTATTAGTCCAACTTGAGTAGATTGCTGCATCCTTCGGCTAATAGCTATTATGGTTTATTGCAATAGCTGAAATAGTTTATTGCAGTCATGCTGGCCACATGACCTTGGAGGTGTTTCCGGACAATGTCGGCTCTTCAGATTGAAATTGAGATGAGTACCACCTTCCAGAGTATGATGAGGGAAGGAGATGGTCTTAGGGAACTTCATCTTATAATCAGTTTGTCTCCTTCCTACATCATAAAATGAATTCAAAGAGTCATTAGCTACTAAGTAATCACTTTTTTTTACTGTTATTCCTGGCAGATGTGGCCCATGTTTAAGGATATCTCCTGCCTTCAATGCTCTGAGCAATAAATACCCACAAGCAACATTTCTGGAAGTTGATGTACATCAATGCCAGGTGAGGACTGTTCAGACATGTACACATAATATTTGGGTGATGTTGACACATTCATCCAGGCAATATGAATATACAGAAATATGAACTATATGTAAAATCCAACCAACTTTATAAGTACAAGCAGAATTGTGTGAAAGACAAATTGTACATTTGCCACAAAAATACAAGGGTAGCATTTATCATAATTGCATTCCTATAGGATAAATTGATTATCTTTAAAGTTTAAGATTTATAGAATGTTACTTTTCCTCGTGTTCTTGGCCATAATTTGTGAATGGCGAGATACAAATGGAACTAAGAGTAGGTAATGTAGCAAGTTCTATCCCTAATAGCCATTGTCAAACATCAGTTTAACTTAACTAAGGTGTCATTGATAGAGACCATAGAAATGCTTCCATTTGAATTCTTATGTTGTGGCTACGGATATCAACCAATTCAGAAGCTAGCTAGATATAGTAAGTATCATAGGCATTCTTAAATCTTGTAGTTAGTTCTCTCAGAAATTAAAAATAGACATAATATGTACAAGCTTGAATTTCAGTGCCTTTTTGGGGGGGGGGGTGTTAGTGTCAGGTTAAATAACTAGAAGTTACCATCTTGTGTTGACTTAAGCTCTTAAAAACAAATATTTAACTTGATACTCACATGTATTAATGGCTTATAGATGGAGGGAGCATCATAAACTTCAATGTATTTCCCTCACTCCTTGTCTTCAGGGCTTCTATATGAGACCAAGCTTAGGTCATTGCTATGTGGTGGGTGATCTGTATTTCTTTGTAAAAAAAAAAATCTTATTGTTATACAGTGCTAACTATTGACTTCCATGTTTTAGGGAACAGCTGCAACCAATAATATTTCAGCAACCCCAACGTTTCTTTTTTTCCGGAACAAAGTGCGAATTGACCAGTATCAAGGTGCTGATGCGGTAGGATTAGAAGAAAAAATCAAGCAACACCTAGAAAATGATCCTGGAAACAATGAGGACACAGATATTCCAAAAGGATATGTATGTATTTTGTCTGAAAGAGACTTAACTGGATTTGGGCTTGTGAAGTCCAGGGCAAGGGAAAATTAAATGTGGACTAAAACTGTCAAAATCACCCAGCTGACATAGAAAAGAAATTACTTTTTCCAAGTTCCGGCAAAAGGTGGGATCACAGAATCAAAATAGAGTGCACAGTAATATGCAGCATTTTTTTCTGTGTTACTGCAGATTCAGAAGTTCTGCTTTCTGTGAATCTTGTTCCCCATGAAAGGCTGTTTGAGAAAGTGAGGGCCAAAACAGTCTGTGATGCAACATGTGAGGTTAAAGTGAAAATTACAAAAAACTTTGATAGCCTTTTCCTAGAAAATTTTAAGTATAATTTGTGCTAACAAGTTATAGGGCAACTTGTTAATAAAGACATATTACAGGTCCAGAATAAACTTGTATTGGGGGTGGGCTGCTGATTCAGTGTTGGATTGGTAATGGCAGTTTTTAGACTATGCACCTTTTTCGCTTCCTGGCATGAAATGAAAAAGGGACTTCTTTAAAAAAACAACATTCCTATAGTATAGTGATTAAGAGGAGAATTGTTATTTTGTCTTTTAAATGCCATCGCTACTTAATCTTGCCATTGTCTTGATTTGGTATTTTCCAATTATTATAGTCCTTTGGAAATCCTTCTTAAGGGCGGTAAATTCTGAAAATCTGTTAGTACATCTGATTTATATCTAACATAGATCTGGGGAGTGCACATGGAGCTGTGGAAGGACATGGAAATCTATTCTGTCATTATCTCATTCAGTAGTAAACATAATTAGATCTTCTCCTCTGTCTTTCTATAATAAGCTCAGGAGAGACGTGCTTCCAGTGGATTGAGCCCTTTAACACTGTTTTCAGCAACTATCCTCCCATGACCTTCTGTTAAATAGGGATGACATTAGAGTGGAAGTTCTCTCAATCTGTCTTAAGATTTATGTCTCAGGATGCTTCCATGCAGCCATATAGCCCAGAATATCAAGGCAGAAATCCTACAATATCTTCTTTGAACTGGGTTATCTGAGTCCACACTGCCATGTATCCCAGTTCAAAGCAGATAATGTAGGATTTTATTCAGCTGTGTGGAAGGGGTTTCAGATATTTGTGTTGGGAACCACTATTTCAATAGTTTGCTGCCCTTAACATGTAACTGCGAATAGAAAATAACAGTAAAGTAACTATCAGAGTTGGTTAACTTATTACCATAACGGTCATAAGTTTTTTTTAACTGTTGGTATCCCCAGAGAATCATGGAGTTCTGTGGTGCTGAAAGTATGTCTGTGCTTTCATCTTGCTGTGTGCAGTGTTGAGGAAAAGATATAAATAATCCGAATATACACCATATGTTTTTTCTATTCATAAATAGGTTTTAATACAGAGAAATATTCAAAAATTATTTTCAATTAAAAAAAACCACACACAGCTCTGGAGACTGAAGTGGTACAGTCCCTTCTCACTTCACTGTGTTGCATCCACTGATAATAGCTTCAGTTCAAGACAAATGCTTGAAAGATCTAATTCAATATGCATTATCACACTAATGCAACATGTTAGTGGCTTTACTGAAACTCTTTATCAAAAAGAGAAAGGCTTGTACCTGCTATGTAATTTTCCTAAAGAGAGATGGCCCAGGAAAACAAATTACTAGCCAGTAAGAGGAGATGTATTGTGGGAGCAACACAACAATGAGGCCTTTCATCTCTGTGTTTCTTGGATCACATAACTGAGCATATGGCAGAGGAAGATTTTAAAAAGTAGCCAGTTTGCTAACATCAAAAAGCTGGTAAAGGATTCTGCCACTTGCTGAAAGATTTGAGCTAAATCTCAACATTTTCTAAATAAAATTATTGAGAGCTTGACTTTATTGCATATTCACAATGTTCACTAAAATAATTTTCAATAATTTTTACTATGGCCCAGCAAAAGTAGTGACCCTAATACTTCTGCAACATTGAAGTGGACAGAGATGACATTTCATAAAGGAAAGGAGTATGGGAATTCATGTTCCTCCCCAAACTTCTTATCCATCATTAATAAATACAGACCAATAAGTGAGGGAAATCCCAAGCACTATCTCAGTTACCATCTTCCAGTATTGGAAAAAATCATTGACAACATTTTGACTGATTTTTTTTTCATTCAGATTTCTTATTTGGTTTTCCCAATTTGTTGTGTAACATAGACTTGTCTGACCTTGATCCTTATATGTAAATGAGAGCTCAAACAAATCACACACCTGGAGTTATCATTTTCACATTGGTTTCCTAGTAATATTTGATATAATGGTCTTCTTAAAAGGGTCAGAGTTTTCTTCTGCTCAAAATATTAATGCAACCCATGATAAGTATGCAATGTTTCAGCAGAGTACCCTGCTACTAATATTTCAATTGCTCAACAGTCTCACATTTCTGTCAAGGCAGTTCTGTGAGGGCTTGTTTTCAGTATTAGCAAATGCAATCCATTAGGCTTTGATGGGAAATGGTATTTGTAGAAACCTAGAATTATGCTAAATGCAAAGTCACATCTCTTTTGAGATGTTAAGTACTTTAAATTCACAGCTGAATAGATACAAACACTGTAATGCAAAATGAACCCAATTTATCTTTCCAAACAAATCTTTCTTATGTAAATAATCCCCAAGCATATAGGCCATGTGAATTCACACCCCTTCAAATTTACAAATGTTGGCTATATTATTGTGCCTGTTTCTTGTAGTGCAAGTGTAAATAGTTATGCTAATAGTTAAATATAATGTGCAGGGAAGAAGCTTTGAGGCAACCAGCTCTTCGTTATTTAGACAAATGCCTTGACTATTGCAAATAGAGAATTATAGGAAGGCTTCCATTTGATGAGTTGATTCTTCCCCCCACCCCATCCCAGTTTATATTAGTTTAAAACTTCCATACAACCAATGCATTCAAAGTAGTTAACGATTTAAAATTGCATGTCATATTGTTGAGAGATGAAAGAAAAAGAAAGTGGTGGCACGAGGATAGAAAAATAAGAATCTCTACATTTTAATCCATGAACGAAAAAAGTTAAAGCAGAATATTTGTAACTTAGATCGTAATTCAGTGGAATTTCTAGATATATTGGCCTGTATTGTTTTTGTTGGCTGGCCTTATTGGGAGTTGTATTCCCAGCACAACTGGAAGCCTCTCTAGTTTGCGAAAGTTACATTGCTGAAAGTTTTATAGGCCAAACCTGCTAAATACATATTGGTAGTAGACATAGTGAATAGTGAAAGTACATGGATAAAACAAGACATTACAAGATTTATAATTCTGGGAGGGAGAGATTAAGTATTAAATCTATCAGTTTTTGCATTCTTACTATTTCGGTATTGTATGTTACAAGCAAACAACTCAGGCAGGTAATTCACTGTCTCTTCCTTCTAGATGGACTTGATGCCATTTATTAATAAAGCTGGCTGTGAATGCCTTAATGAAAGTGATGAACACGGGTTCGAAAACTGTTTACGTAAAGACTCTACCTATTTGGAATCGGATTGCGATGAGCAGGTATTGTGAACTCCAGACAGTATTACTTTTCTTTTGAAGGACAATGATATTATTTTGACAGCACTAATTCAACAATAGTAATTTCTATTTGTTTTTAATTTATCTATTTAAATTTGTGTTGATCATTTGAGAAAAAGAGTAGCAGCTGAAATTAATCCTTATTCATTAATACCATTTATCCATGCATTATTTTTTTTTACTCCACAGCTGCTCATCACGGTAGCTTTTAATCAGCCTGTCAAGCTGTATTCTATTAAATTTCAAGGACCTGATAATGGTAAGTAAAACAACTTCTTTCAAAAATAGCCATTGATACATGCAGCAACTGGTATTTTTTAATTCCCATAATTTTAAAAATGCAACTAATAAGTTGCCAGTTATTCATATGTCGGCCTCATTCTTGGTGCTCCTCCGTGTTTAAATTTTGGATATTAGCCTCAAGCATCATTCTGTCTATACATTGTGACAGAGTATAGCCTAACAAAGTGTCTGAAAAAAATAATGCAGGGGAATGCAGAATTTGCAAAACAAAGTCGGCTTTTCTGTCAAGGACCATTACAAATTCTCCATATTATACTGTTTTTAGTTCTTTTGGTTTCCCAGCCTGAAAAGTATAGGTAATAGCTGATAACTTTTATGCTACCTATGTTAAATAGTTGCAATATTCACAGTTAAATTGTGGTCCATAACTTCCAGGGACCAGGAATGGCTTTGAGGGATATGCCATTGCCAACAGTCAGCAGTAAATGGCAGCACGAAATCTCAAGAGTGAACTGGATAACATTTCTTAAAACAAGCAGAAAATACTTGTTTTAGGGTTACCCCCCCCCCCCCCCCCCCCAAAATATGGCATTGAATCTCATCAGCAAATTTGCCTGTTTTAACAGTTTACTATTGAAAGTTGTTTTAGTTAGATAGATTGCTTTGGTGAGGCACATGTTGCCTATCCCTTGTTGAAATGACATGAAATTTGCAATTTAAAAATGGTATACTTAACTCAGATTAAAGATTGAAGACTGAGTCAATACAAACCCACTAACTTCCCCCTGTTTTGAGAATGAAATTGGTTTTCCATAAGTACTTTATTCTGTAGCACATGGTTGGACAAAATGTGTTCTGCGGCTGATTTTCCTGCTTCTTGGCAGGGGGTTGGACTGGATGGTCCATGAGTTCTCTTCCAACTCTATGTTTCTGTGATTTATTTATTTTCTTCATTTCTACCCCGCCTTTCTCAACCCCAGAGGGGACTCAAGGCAACTTACAAATCTGGCAAAAATTCAATGCTGCACAGATAAACAATGACACACACCTCATAAAAATGTAAACAATCTAAACATATAAGCAATTAAAACACATATCGATCAATCAAGCAGATTAAAAACCATATAAAATGCTGAGTAATGATCTCATATCCTTAATAGTTTTCCAAAATCCATCGTCCATTATTCAAGCTGTTAAAGTCTTATTCCATAGTTTCCTATTCACCAAACGCCTGCATAAAAAGCCAAATCTTAAGTTTTGTTCTAAAACCAGAAGGGATGGGGTCTGTCTGATGTCACTGGGGAGGGAGTTCCACAGCCGAGGGGCCACCACTGAGAAGGCCTTGTCTCTCGTCCCAACCAGTTGAGCTTCCAAAGAGGTTGGGGACAGAGCAGGACCTCCTTAGCTGATCTTAAAGCTCTTGTAAGCTCATAGAGTGAGATGTGTTCAGACAGGTAAGTTGGACCAGAACCTTACAGGGCTTTAAAGGCCAAGACCAGCACTTTGAATTGGGCTCAGAAGCAAACTGGCACCAGTGGAGCTGACGTAAAAGAGGAGTAGTATGTCTCTGTATGCCCTCCCAGGTAGAAATCTGGCTGCCACCCATCAGACTAATTGAAGCTTCCGGGCCGTCTTCAAAGGCAACCCCATGTAGAGCACATTGCAGTAGTCTATATTATTCTCACGAAGCCAGTAGTGAGGGGATTTGTGGTCCAAAAGAACTTTTTTTGATTATTAGTTAAGATAAAAGGTACCTTATAAAGCAAGGTGATATTTTAGGCCGAATGATATGTCTATTTCCTTTTGAATTATATAGAAGTCAGTTACATGCAATACCATAACACAGGGGTCTTCAAACTAAGGCCCAGGGGCCGGATACGGCCCTCCTGGGTTATTTAGACTACTGCAACGCTCTCTACGTGGGGTTGCCTTTGAAGACTAGTCCAACGCTCGGCAGCCTTGATACTAACAGGAGCGGAGCGCAGGGAGCATACAACTCCTCTGCTGCACCAGCTCCACTGGCTGCCGATTTACTACCGGGCTCAATTCACAGTGCTGCCGTTGGCCTATAAAGCCCTAAACGTTTCTGGCCCAAGCTACCTATCCGAACGTATCTCTGCCTATGAAGCCACCAGGACTCTAAGATCTTCTGGGGAGGCCCTGCTCTCGATCCTGCCTGCATCACAAGCACGGCTGGTGGGGACGAGGGACAGGGCCTTCTCTGTGGTGGCCCCTTGGCTGTGGAACACCCTTCCCACGGACATTAGATCAGCTCCTTCATTAATGGTGTTCCGAAGAAAACTAAAAACCTGGCTGTTTGAACAGGCATTCGGATAAACAGTGCAATGAATACGATGAATATAGGAACGGAATTATGGATGACGAATTGGATCACGATTCTAGTTACGAGACGTTAATGTATTGTTATTGATGTGTCATTAATTTGTATACTATGCTGTTAATGCTTTTTAAATTGCATGTTTCTATGATTGACTTTTTGCTCTTGTTGTGAACCGCGTTGAGTCGCCTACGGGCTGAGAAACTGCGGTATACAAGCAAAGTAAATAAATAAATTTACCAGCCCTCGCTCAGGGTCAACCTAAGTCTGAAATGACTTGAAAGCACAGAACAACAACAATCCTATCTCATCAGCCAAAAGCAGGCCCACACTTCCCATTGAAATACTAATAAATTTATATTTGTTAAAATTGTTCATTTTAATTATTGCATTGTTTTAAAGTGTTTTTTGCAGTACAAATAAGATATATGCAGTGTGCATAGGAGTTCATTCATGTTTTTTTAAAAAAATATAATCCGGCCCTTCAACAGTTTGAGGGACTGTGACCTGGCCCTCTGTTTAAAAAGTTAGAGGACCGCTGCCATAAATCCCGATTAGATTACTGCAACACACTCTACGTGGGGTTACCTTTGAAGACTGTTCGGAAACTCCAACTAGTCCAGCGAGAAGCAGTCAGACTGCTCACCGGAGCGTCATACAGGGAGCATACCCCCCCCCTGTTGTGTCAGCTCCACTGGCTGCCGATCCAGTTCCGAGCACAATTCAAAGTGCTGGTTTTGACCTAAAAAACCTATACGGCTCCGGCCCAGTGTATCTGTCCAAACAGATCTCCCTCTACGTCCCACCCCAGAATCTAAGATCTTCTGGGGAGACCCTGCTCTCAACCTCGCCCCTACCACAAGTGAGGTTGGCGGGGATGAGGAGCAGGACCTTCTCGGTGGTGGCACCCCACCTGTGGAATCTGCTCCTCGGGGAAATCAGATCAGCAACATCACTCCTTTCCTTCAGGAAAAAACTGAAAACTTGGATTTGTGACCAGGCATTTGGACAGTCGGGCAGATAAAGAAATGGCCAGGAAATGACTTAATGGAATGGAAATCGGAACTCTGAAAGACTTACGCTGAGGATGTGAATTGTTTATATGATGTGTGGTATATTGATGTTTGATTGTTTTAATTGTGATAATTGTTTTAACTATGGTGTTTTGTACATTATGTGTAATTTGTATAGGCATCGAATCGTGCCTTTTTTGTAAGCCGCCCTGAGTCCCCCCTCGGGGTTGAGAAGGGCGGGGTAAAAGTACCCGAAATAAATAAATAAATAAATAACATATATGAGTATTCAAATCATGTTTAAGGTTCATAACAACGTCCAAAAATATTTTGTTACAGGACAAGGTCCAAAGTATGTAAAAATGTTTATCAACCTTCCTCGATCAATGGATTTTGAAGAAGCAGAAAGAAGTGAACCCACTCAGGCTCTGGAACTAACACCAGATGACATTAAAGAAGACAGTATTGTCCAGCTCCGCTATGTAAAGTTTCAGAATGTTAACAGCGTAACTGTGAGTATTATGCTTCACATTTCTTCCTTGTTAATATGATCCAGCAACATTTCAGGTGGTTTCCTAAAAGACATTTTATTCACAATCTGCAGGCAGTTGAAAGTAAAAAAAAAAAAGTTATGAAAGGGGGCCATTTTAGGAAAGGAATAAAAATTTGAAATGAAAGTGGCCAGGATTCTCTCTCCTGCGGCACCTTGAGATTCTAAAACCTGCTTCAGAAAGTTGGGAGAAGTCCTGACTGAGATTTATGGCACACAAAGGGCTACAGTAATAGAAGAGGTCGAAAGAACATCCCAATTTCATGGGCACTTTATGCATTGGAACACCAGTTGTACACACCTGGCCACTGTTTCCTAGTTTGTTTTTACAATCTTTGGTTTTGTAAAAGTGGTACTGCTTTTCCTAAGATTTGCTATAGACAGCAGGGCAATTGTCAGTTACCAAAAATCTGCACAGACTCAAGAGAAACAAAGAGCATGGCATCTGTGTTATTAGCCCTTACTAGGCGAAACAGATTTGAATCCTGATATCTACCCGTTGATTTTTCCATTAGCAACCCTAAAAGAATTAGACTATTCAACATGTTTGACCTGGCTTTTCCATGAATTTTAAGTATTTATTGAACTTTTCCACATTATAACTCAGCACTGATATTTTCCATTTCAGTTATTTGTTCAATCCAATCAAGGTGATGAAGAAACAACAAGAATTTCATATTTCACATTTATTGGAACACCAGTCCAAGCAACAAACATGAACGATTTTAAGCGGGTATGTTCAGATATCTCTATTATAGCAGAAGCCATATTGTAGGTTTTACAAACAGCAAACTGCAGCGTTCACAGAAGAGCTTTTCATGACTGCTATATTGTGTAATCTCTAGAGGTGTTTTTTGGTTTTTGAAATGAGAAGTCAGATTTGCCTTGCATATTTCTATTGTGTCATTTCTTGCAGTGAACTGTCAGAGATGCATGGTTGTTTTTAAAAGCTCATAAAACCCAATGTCATGTTAAGCTTGGGATTTCCAGAATTATTTGTTTTATCCCCCAAAGCCTAGTTACTTAGAGTGTGAAGGCAGTTGAGAAATTCATACCTTGTCTATCTTTCTGTAGCATTGTACATGTTCTTTCATTAATATATAAACAATTTTTCTGTATAAAATGTATACATATATTCTGCTCCTAAGATTCGGGGGTTTTATGCTGGTAGTGATGGAAAGTACAAGGAAAGAGCAAGACAAGGGTGAGAAATAGTAGGCAGTATATTTCTTCTTAAATTTGGTTTACCTATCCTTGGAAGCTCTACTTAGCCACTCTCTATTTTCTCAGTTTTTATTACACATTTTTGGCCTTTCTCTGTTTCTATTTTGACGCATTTTTAACTATACTAGATATCAAATTATTTGACCTGAGCAGATATGATGAACAATACTGGTAAGCCCAGTATCTATTGAATTGAAGACATATAGCACAGGGTTACATAAGAACTCCCAGTGATGCAATGGGTTAAACCCTTGTGCCAGCAGGACTGCTGACCAAAAGGTTGGCGGTTCAAATCTAGGGACTGGGGTGAGCTCCTGTCTTATCATCTCTAGTTTCCCATGCAGGGACATGAGAGAAGCCTCCTCATAGGATGGTAACACATCCTGGGGTTCCCTAGGCAATGTCCCTGCAGACAGCCAATTTTCTCATACCAGAAGCAACTTTCAATTTCTCAAGTCACTCCTGACATGGAAAGAAAATAAAAGCGCAGGGTTGTAGAGGAGAAAGAACTGTATGTAGCCCAAGTTCTAGATAGCAGCCTTGAAAGGAGGCTTGCATTTCTGAAAGGACAGCCAGGAGGAAAAGGATCGATACAACCTTTTGGAATCCTTGACAGAAGTGTATCTAAATGCTGAAACTATGCATGGTGTGTTGGTAGAAATGTCTGGGAATGAGTACATAAAATACTTGATCATTTGATTTAATGTGATCAAGGTTGGCATTGGTTGCTGTGTACTGAAGACTAAAAACTGTTTTAAGAGTGTTCATTGAAGTTTTTTCTCTTCAGAAATGTTTATTTGTTCTGTAAACATTGTATTCTTATGTTGGAATCATAGAAAGATGTATAATTTATTTTTAGATTCTGTGCTGTAGTGGAGAAAGAAACTTGATGGCTGGGAGTTCAGGAAATAGTATCGCTGAGCATAGCCATAGATTATGAGAGGTTTGAATAGGCAAGGGGGTGTTCAGTTACAATGAAAGGCAGGAATGTTGTACTTTCCGGAACTGTATAGAAGTATGTTTGGGTAGGTACAGCTTATTATTAACATGACAGGCTGCATCTTCTAAAATAACTATGCCTGTGGTCACCCCTTTGCCTGTAGTTCCCAGCCTTTTGCATCCATTATGCCAGTTTCCCAGGAGGCAGATTTGTAAATTTTAAAAGTTTCTTTCTTGTGAGACTTAAGTATAGGACACAGCTCCAAGACACAAAGCATTTTTGCACCCTCTTATTATTACTCTTAATTCTGATTTCTCGAAAGCAAATTCTCGCGTCTCAGAAAAAAAGCAATAACCAGAGTTAACAGGAAAGATCTCAAATCCAGATGTCAGATCGCCTATTCATGTCCACAAAACACAAGATACCCATTTAACTGGTATAAATACTAAAAAAATAAAACACCTTACCTCACCACAAGCTTACATCAAAAAAGAAACAAAGTCAACCACAGTCCAAACATACAAAGCAGCTGAGATACAGGAAGTTCTGAAAGAAAATTGTAAAATAAAGGGTTCTCTGGAGGTGACTTTCTCATTTTGCAGGATGATGGCCTTCATGTTGTTGTTGTTTAATCTAAATCAAATTTTTAAAATCATGATAAAAATAGAGTTGCAAGCATGTCATTGGGAACTATGGAATTATCTGTCTTCTGTCAGTTAGTGCCCTTATCCTCATCTGACTGCATTGACAGTGTTTAGTTGCTTGAGGGGAAATGAGGCCAATCAACAAAATCTTTTTACCCTTCAGCTGTAAATTATCTTTGGTATAAAAACAATAATGAAAAATGAAGTTGGCATACAAATAAGGTGGTGGTTTTAGCCGTAGTGAGAAAGGAATACTAAACTCCTTTTTTCTATGATATTTTATAAGGTGCATTTTTCAGCACTCGACAAAAAACGACCTTTATTATAAGATGAAGAGGACAGAAAGACAGAATGTGTCTAATAGTCCAGTGCAGCCCAGCCATGGCTGTGGATAGAAAAAGTTTTTTTTCCATCTAGACCCTGTGAGTCTAGATCAAGCTTGCACAACCTGCGACCCACCTGTGCTCAGACCTTCAACTCCTCGAAGCCCTAGCCAGCTAGTTCAGGAATTCTGGGAGTTGAAGTCCGAAACACCTGGGGGACTGCAATTTGTGCAGGCCTGTTCTAGATGGAAAGGCATTTCTTAACTCGGAGAATTTACACAATAGCAGTTATGTTCGCTTCATTGAGTGAATCTGGCATGGCATAGGCCTTGTCTCATCAACAGTGATGGCAGATGTGTGACTGTGGATATATGGCAGAATTCCCAGAGAGCTTTGCCAAAGTTTTTGTTGCTGTTGATATTGTGGGAAGGAGCATGGTCAGAGCTCACTAAATTTGAGGTGTATTTTGGGAAATTCCATTGGAAATTGAGTCTAGATGGAAAGACTCTGGTGCTAGACAAAGGCTGTGCAATACTGTTTGCTAATCCTTATTCTGATAATACACACAATGGAATAGGAATGTATTCATGGTCTTAATAAAATCGAGAGCTGAAGAGAAAAATAACTTTGCAACATGACACTCGTGTAAAGGCCCATTTTGGTTCGATAGGGTGAGCACAGAATAATGTAGAGGTGAATAGGAGAGATCTTAAAAAATGCAAAATCTAATCAATATATCATGTATGAAGCTTTGGTGTGTTCAGAACAGCAGGAACAGTTATAAATCAAACCTTTACAGCCTATGTTTCACTCCTCTTCGCATATCTCACCCCACTTCACACTCTTCAGTGGGTTCTATCACTGCTTCAAGTTTATGCTTGCTCAGATATATCTTTTAATCTTAATCTCTACTATGATTCTAACTGCTTCCCATCTTGCATTAATTACAGTGCCAACTAAAATCCAAACTGTAGGATAACTGTTTTAAAAAACTGTCTAAAGAAACAGCTGGTGGGAGAATTGCTTCTAGAAGTTAACTGAAAAGATTATAGATGAATTGTCCTTGTATCTCTTTATCTTATCAAGAACCTTTGTATTAGAATCTCAGGTTCAGCTTCACAGCCTGGTAATTATAAAACCTGTAATTACCAAGCTGGGTATTTCACACCAGTCATGAGTCAAGATCTGCCTGTGCCTAGTCTCACAGAAAATACAATTTTCTGTGAGCCTAGGGGAGGCTGTCCTCTTGAGTACCTGGTTATTGCTGAGTTACAAGATAGGATGGTCAGCCGTATAAACCCTCACCTAACTTTACTGTTGAGTTTTGACATACCTAAAGTAAAGTTGGATCACTTCCAACAGCCAGTTTGCCTGGATTTTCAGTTGTTTTCATTTTTGCAGAATTTAAGACTGGTATTATTATTATCATCATCATCATTATTATGTTTCTACCCTGCTTTTTCTCTCCATAAGGAGACTAAAAGTGGCTTACATTGAAAACATTTCAGTACAATTTAAAATCTACAAATATATAAACATTAAAACAGAATTAAATATCACTGGTATTTAAAAATTCATTTGTAAAATACATGTCCAAACTAAAAACTACAGAGAGTACCACCTTTGCAGCTGATATGGGGTCAATTTGGCCAGTTTTCTGGCAAAAAAAAAATCACTTCAAACCAGCACAGATATTTAAAAAATAGGTATAGGAGCTTTGGAGGAGCTCAACAGGGGTTTCAGGGTCTTTCGGCCTATAGGCCACAGTTTCCCCACGTTTAAAATTTTCCCAACCAGTAGGCAACAGAATAGAAAAGATCCAGTTGTAATCTTTTCCAGGTAACTTGTTAGGATGGCTGTCATTAAGAACTATCTCCTGACTTAGTTCAGGTCTCTTCTACTAGCATAATATATTTGGGAATGCGTTTGGATGCTGCATGCTAGATTAAAAAATGCTGGTTTAAATTCAGAAGCATGAGCAAAGACAAAGACAGCAGTCTGTGCCATCTCCATGTCAGAGGCAAAGCTGACATAGCCTTTGTGGTGATTTCTTTTGCATTCTTTGCTAACTGTTTTGAATTGGGGGTTGAGCCTGTATTTCCTGTAGCAGAAACTTCTGAGTCTCCATGGTATCTATGATAAAAATGCATGTGAAATGCAGCTGCTTTTGAGTGTGGCTTGACACTTCCATTTTTCCCAGTTCATTGGCTTATTCATACATTGTAACACTCTGTTTTATTATTTTTCAGCATTTCCCTGGCCCAAAGAAATAAAAATGCGGAAGATTTATGTCCTTAAATGACCCTTGCCCACACCACCCTTTTCTCCTTGCTTCCTCTCTTCACCTAACGTCTGCTTTCTCCTTACCACATTTCCACTGCTTTTGATGCCATCACTTCCTCTCTGCACCTCTGGGATACCTTTCCTGGCTCTCTTGGTTTTATCATGGACTCATCTTTGCTTTAATATACCATGTTCAAGTTCTTATTTTTGCACACCCTTCTTTTTTCTTCTTCTTTGTGTGTATCACTTTGCAGTTAGAAGTGTCAAGGTTTAACTGCTATTAAAACCCGAATGTTATTGGATTTTCTATTTATGTTCTCAAGGCAATTATGGAGATGGAAGAACCTACTGCATTCTCAGCTTCAAACCTAGATTGAATGACCTGTGGCTACATTTTCTGAATAGGGTTTCAAGCACTGAAACCCTTCAAAACTGCAGCCTTTTCAGCCTTACATAGCTTCACTGTCCTCATGTAGCCTTTTGGGATGGCTAATTTCTGAACATAGTATGAACCAATCCTTAGAGGACTCAAACCCTTGGGCCTTATAGCTCAGTACTGTCTGACTGACTCCATTTCTATGAGCTGTCAAGCAGAGGAGAGCAAGACAGAGCAGCTGGGACTCTGTATGTGCAAATTATATGCTAGTGTTACTTGTATTATTTGTCCTTCAAAGCAATTTCTGTTGCTTATCCTCAAAATGTGGATCCATCTACTGGAAGTCTGTTCACTTAGGATTTTTAAATTGTGATGTTTCGTGGGATGTAGAATTTTGAACTTTGTCATGGGATTCATTCACAAGATTATTTGATATTGTGAATGAATGAATGAATGAATAACTTTATTGCCATTGTGCTATTGCACAATGAAATTAAATGCTTTCCCCAGAACACACCACAAAACATATAGAGGGGGAAGGGACCATCTAAATTTGACCCTTATTTCAAAAATGATTGTACAAGTTTAACATTGCCCTTGCTGAACGTATTCAAGCAAACAAAAATGAAGGGATAGTATTGTAAAGTGCTATAAATAGTATTTCTTTCTTAACCTAAAACATCCTAATAAACAGCATAATGCACATGCCTTGAATGCTTCCATTTCTTTCTCAGCCTGTGGGTCCCCAGAAGTTTTGGCCTTCAACTCCCAGAAATCCTAACAGCTGGTAAACTGGCTAGGATTTCTGGGAGTTGTAGCCAAAACACCTGGGGACCCAAAGGTTGAGAACTACTGGTCTAAAATGTGGTATTTTCATTGTTTTTTTGCCTTCAAGTTGGCCCTGATTTTGGTGACTCTATTATAGGGTTTTCTTGGTGAGACGCTTTCAGAAAAAAATTACTTCTACTGCCTTTTCAGGCTAAAGGAATGTAATTTATCCAGTCATTCAGTGGGTTTTAATGGTTAAGTGAGGATTTAGACTCATTATTTTCAGGTTTCATTTTTCATCATGCAAACCACCACACCACTCTGTTCCCTTAATGGTTTATTTTCAATTAGGTTATGTCATGTGACATGAAAATTTTAAGCGATGACCTTTGGAAAGAGTTGGCTGAGTTGTTCTGCACATGCCACAGTGCAGTTCACTTTGGACCATATGTGGTGGAACTACCAGTCACATGTCAGCACTAAATGAAGACTTTATAATGAAGAGTCAAATCATGCTACTTTCTGTGTATCATGTACCACTAATAAGGATCAATAAGTGTAGCCAGAGTAACAGCGTATCTCATTGGAGACTTGTTGCTCTTTTATCTTAGTCCTAATGATCATGTATCTTTGTAATGATGGGAATTCTTCAAACAGTTCTAGCTTTGCTGACAAACAATTCCACAATGTTTAATTTTTCAGGTTATACATATGGGCCACTTGAGCATTTCCCCTTCTGAATGGTATCGATTTATTTCTTTTTTTGAGATGGTTGGGCCACTTGAACTAACCTCATAATTATCTAATTTGTGGGTGTAACTACTTAATCCAAACTGGAGCATCATGCTTACATCATGCTTTAAACAAAACCAAAGAATAAACATTTCTGTCATTGCCCAATTTAGTTTTGCCTTTTTGTAACATGCTTCATTAAATCTTAACTTGTTTGAAATTGTTTCAGTTAGTATTACATGAGGTTCTAATTCTAAATTGCCTTGGTTGTTTTGGCAATAGATACCTGCATGCCCACTGTATATACCGCCTTTCTTTGATTTTAAGATGCTATCAATTTCAGTTCCTCCAACAGAAAGTTTATATATAGAGAGAGGGAGGGAGGGAGGGAGGGAGAGAGATAGCACCTGTGATTCTAAGACTCACACACCATTTTTAGAAATGTTTATATGGGGGGAGAAGGGCATCTTAGACTCAAAGAAATATGGTACAATGATTCTACAAGACTGGGTTAGGGTTTATTTTTATTCAAAATGGATGTAAGGATATGACTTAAAATAGATCCACATACTCTTGTGTATAAGTCAAGCTCGTGTATAAATTGAGAGCAGGTTTGGGGACCAAAATTGTGGATTTTGATATGATCTGTGGACAACTTAAGGGCCATTCTGGGGAGAGGGGGATCCACCAGCATTATTTTGTGCCAGCTACTACTGTTGTCGCTATTTTCTTCCATTCATCACTCTACTCAGAGAAGGGGGTGTTTCTTTTTTTATATATTAATACTGTATCTTAACTTAACAAAAAAGAAATCATCACCTTCTCTGATTAGAGCAGCAAAAGAGGAGAACTTAGTCTGTCCTGAGGGAACTGAAAAGAAGGATCAACCTCTTCTATAATCTCGGTACTCCTTTAAGGGGAAGTGCTATTTTCCCACCCAGGCATTCAAAAGGGCTAGAACTGGTTCTGCAACGGAAATAAAAGAGGGGGTCAGATCTTCTTTTCTGTTCTCCCAGGATATACAAAACTCTTGCTTTTCACCACTAATCTGAGAAGGTGAGGTTTGGTTTTTAAAATAAGTGATAAGGTATAATACTTGCATTGATATGTCAAACTACATTATTTGTGTTGATTTTTGATAAAAAATATCTAAGCTTATACATGAGTATATACAGTTTCCCAATATCTGTAGAAACTGGAAATTATATAAGAAATTATCAAATTGTATATTAGCAGTGTCAGAAGACTTTAATATATTGTGTGAATTTGTGGCTATTTTAACTGCCTTATTAAATGCATTGTGTGTTCAAAGAAGGCTGTAAAATTTCATCCCCTCATCTGCCAGTTGCTATTCTCCAGCTGAACAAGAGAGAATGTTGATTTGGTATATCTGTGTTCATATTGAAAGATGTATTTTTCTCAGCATGCTTTACAGAATCAAGCCGAAGTGATCATGTTCATGCTTAACACTAAACCATGGTTTAGCAATAGATGGATGAGTTCATACAAACACAAGCTAAGTATCTCACTTGAGCAGTCTCCTCCACTATGACTAGGAAAGTGCTTTGCTCAATTTAGAGACTAAGATGACAACAAGCACTATTTCTTACTGCTGATATTCTACTATTACCATCTTAACTGTAATTGGATCAGTCACCTCAGTTTAGACCAGTGGTTCTCATCCTGTAGGTCCCCAGATGTTTTGGCCTTCAACTCCCAGAGATCCTAACAACTGGTAAATTGGCTGGGATTGCTGGGAGTTGTAGGCCAAAACACCTGGAGACCCACAGGTTGAGAACCACTGGTGTAGACAATTCACACAAAATTACATTCAGCTTTATGAGTCTATTGAAGAAACTGCAGATTGTTTCAGTTTCTATTTCTGTTGAAATAGAATAGAAATAGAAACTTCACAAACTGCATGTGATTTGATAAAGTAGTTCACATCATTTTTCATACAATGAGATATATTTTGCACTATATCCCATAGTAAGACAAAGTGGCCTGAACTTAGCTCTGGCTATCTCGCTACAAACACAAGTATAGGAATATCCTAAATATTCCTCCTGTGTTTCATTCAGCTTTCATTCAGCTTTCATAACTATGTTTCAGTCATACTTGAACAAGACTTTAATTCATTGCCTGCCTTCAAAATTCTCGCATTTATTCCAGTTTTATTCTTTGCTAGTTTTGGGGGTTCATAATCCCATACCCACCAATACAAAAATGCATACTAGAAAAGTCCAGGCAATATAATGGTTTGAGAGTCCCTTTTCTTGACCTAGGTGCTAATAACATTTCTCTTCCATTAGGTGGTAGGCAAGAAAGGAGAGAGCCACTGAATACAAGGGAAATACTGGAAGGCCTTACTGCAATCAACGCGGGATCTTGAGATTATCTCCAACTCCTGGGAAATTGCTTGACCGTAGCCAGAGACTGTCAGTCTGTTTCCATTTTAATACCATTATAAATAAATCACTGCATTTTGTTAATATGGGATTTCACTAAAGTGTTTTCTGTTGTAATCTTGGAACATAAATTTGTAAATAAAGATCATTAATTTTGCCAAGTTGCATAGTGGAAAATTCACTGTATCACTTTAAAAGTGAAAAACTAACTTCATAATCCTAATTGTGTGTGTTTTTTTTTAATGCTCAGATGTTAATTGTTTCTTGATCTCTGTTTTTAGAGATGGATTTTGTTCAGTTGTAAGTGATAAAGGCCTTTCTTAAAGGAGGAAGTGTGGTGTTTCTGAAACTGTACCTTGTTTGTAGAGATCATAGAAACTGCCTCAACATTTTTCTCTGCCTGATGTCAATACACAGCAGGATGGAAGGCCAACCCTCCATGTTCCTACTTCCTGAACAGTCTCATTGACTCAGGTGCTTCTATGGAGATGGAAACACTTAGGACTGTGGTTTAGGCAGAGGGCTATAATTTGTTAGCCCTTATTGGTTTGATTTCCCAGGGGTGCTTTCATGATCAGTCATCAAAAAATAAAGCATCAGTATCTGCAGTTCTCCAACATGACTATTTCTTTGTTGAACTATCACCCCCCCTGATGGATCTCCTAGGTAGGCATATATGTCGCACGAATACTGTGGAGCTTTGGATTAGCCTCATACATGGCTAATTTCTCAGAGGAATCTTTCATTTGCCTGTCTCCAATATTTTCATTGGTGAAAGGGGGAGCTGTCGTGATCAGCTATTTTTGATACAAGCATATTTGGAGTAACGTTGCTTTAAACATTTTGGTAGAATTACTGTGCCTCTGTGGGGTTCCCTAAATAGAAATATTCAAGGGAGATAGTTATCTTTTTTTTTTTTTTTGAAGGATGAGTGGCTGTGCTGGATTGTTTTAAGCCTCTTCTGTAAATCTCCTTGGCAAAGTGCCCCATAAAGAATATTTTTAAATCACACATTGACCAGCACTGTGTCCATATGAGGTTGCTTTCTAAGTCACAGTAAATTTTAACAAAGAGAATTTAATTGGAATAATTACTTTGTTGACTTAAATTGGTTGTTTTTCTAAGTACAATAAATCCCAGGAAGAATTTAAATCCTAGCTTAATTAGTATTCTCTAATTTTACTTTATTTATTTGTTTGCTTTTTTTGTTAAATGCTGCAGGCATTTTTGTCCTGCCTTGGCAGATTTATGCATTAATACCAAACTTAATTCTTCTGCATAAAGAGTTGGACACAATCCACCGACAATGTTTCCTGCAAAAGCCCTAGTGGAATATGAAAAGGAGTTAGCAATGTTCGGGGAGAGAAACAATTCATTTCAGCAAATAGAGTCTGTAACAAGTGAAATACAGCAGCAAGCTCTTGTTCTAGGTTCCAGCTAACCTTCTCCAGAGTACTCCATCCCCACAAGTGTCCATTTCTGTCTCATTGCATTGTTTCTATGGCTGGCAGGGAGGGGTTGCATTCTTGGCCAACTTGTCCTTTTATCTTTAATGCAGATGGTGCCATTTGAACTATGAGCTGCTCCTGCCTTGGAGATAACCCTTGTGCTGAGCATATACCATAGAAATACTAGATAGGAACATAGAAATCTGCTTTACACTGAGTGACACAATTGACCTATCTAACCACATTTTGTGACCAATGCCAGGCACTACTCTCTGTAGAGTTCCAGACATAAGTTTTCACTGAGGGCCACATCACCCTTATGGTTAAATTCAAAAGGCCGTTGTTAATTGTAATACTATATAAATGTAACACTGTTGCACTGGTATTGAAAGCCTCGCAGGCCACATAAAATGAGGTGGCAAGCCAGATGCAGGCCATGGGCTTTGCATTTGACACATTGCTCTAACCCTTCAGATGTTGGGCTTCAGCTTCCATCATTCCCAATCGTTGGCCAGCCTACTGGTTCTGATGGTGATTAGAGTTTAACAACAACTGGAGGACATAGATATGAATCCATGCTTCCATTAAAGTCTTACCGAAGTACTGTATTCTCTACGCTAACTAGCTAATTGCTGCTTGTACCTTATCAGAAATTTAAAAAGTCATGTCCTGCCTCATTATTTATTTTTACAATCTTGCATTTAGAGATGGCTCAGCATAAATTATTATTCATTATTAGTAAAGAGTGCTAGTTTTTTTTAATTATTCCACTTTTTTTGAAAGCTATCCAAACTAGTGACCATTATTATACTTGCTCTTGTTTGTTCCTTAGCAATGTTTTCTCTCTTGCCCTTTCACAGCAAAATGTTCAAAACCTATATCTCATTATTCATTGTATGGCCTGGTCAATGGCTTACTAGGCAAGATGCAAAAACCACAACATTGCATTTGTGGGCATTTCAGTGTGTATTCTTGTGAATTTCAGATTTGAGACCCACTTGAATGAAAGAATTGCCACAATTGCTTTTGTATGTGTGAGGTTCTATTTCTTGAATTTATGTTATTGGGCAGGGAAAGTTTGATCTCCTTATTAAAATGGTTACAGGCCTGAAAAGGAATAGTTAAGAAACTTTGTAAAATGATGGCAATTTAAGATTATTGCTTGTTTTCATTATCGTTCTGTACAAGTAACTTCCTTTTTGGGTTCTTGAAGTGCCTCATCTTAAGTATTACTGACCTCGTATTTATACCTTAGAAGGAGTTGGTTACTGAGTAATGGTCTTTGTGTAAGAAATGTCTGTGATTTTTATATTGCTTGACTCTCTCCTTCAACTTTTGTCAGCCATATGGTTCCTATGACTGTTAATAGTATGAAATCTGTGAAAACTACTATAATTCAGTTGCTGAAGTGTTTTCAAACAAACGTGCTAAATATATTCGGGTGAAATTTGTCAGGATTATATCTGAGTTGAAATTATTAACATGTTTACATATCCTAGGATAATAAATAAGTGAAAGAATTGGTGACAAAAATCTTTAAAAAGATCCTGCATTTCATCAGATGGCAGTATTCGCATGGTTATAAAGCTACTTTGTCTACTTGTCTAGACCTGCAAGTGTCTGAAGACAAGATCCTAACAATGAAAATGTAATACTGCACAAATTTGTTGGCTTGCTTTCAGTGTCCATTGATCAAAGCACTTGTGTCCTCAAATCTTGTTGTGGTCATGTCAACTGTTCATATTAAAGTTGTAAAACTGAAGCAACAAAGCAAGAGAAGAGAAAATGGAACAGTTTGTGTATATCTAGCTCTAATATGTGTGACAATGAACGGGGGGATTAACCACTTGTACAATGCATTGCCAGTTTTTAATAGGCCTAGCAAGGTGATCAAAAGAGAATAAATAATAGGACATCTGAACTTAGAATACAAACTCCATAGAGAAGTTGGTAAGGAAGCTTCCAGTGACTCCTCTATGTAGTGATGAGAAGTCCACCCTGTGGTAGTGCTAGAATACCTTGTGTTTTGCTTGTAAATCATGGGTATCCTTGAAAAAGACCCAAGTAGGAAGGCATAGTATCACAATCAAGTAGGCAACTGGTTCTATTAGCCAGTGCATTTAAATATTGAACTTCAATATTTTGAAGCCGCTCTGAGTCGTCCCCCGGGGGGGGGGGGGGGTGAAAAGGGTGGGGTATAAATATCTGAAATAAATTATTGATGGATGAAGATTAGATGTGATGCCATTAAGCAGAAAATGTGCAACGAGGGTTTTAATGTCTGAACACATGCAGCAAGTGCATGGCTTCTCTCGTGCCCACATGCTCCCCAACAATGTTGAGACTTCCTCTCCCTAAAATCTTACTGCTTCTGCAGTGTTCTCTTTTATGGCAGTTTTCTTTTCACCATTTGGATTTGCCACATCTCTACCTCATTCCCAGCTGGTTCTACATCTCCCGCCCCAATGTAATTTTTGATCCTTAAATCAGGAGTGAGTTTTTTTTTTACTTCAGCCCTCCAAATCCCAGCTAGAATGACTCACAGTGTGGAATTATGGGAGCTATAGTCCAATACATCTGGAGAGCCAAAAGCTCCACAGCTCTGTTTTACAGCTTTGAACTCTATCACCATTTTCATTTCATCTCTTTCTTGGGCATTTCCAGTTACCACCCACAAATCTGCATTGTTGAGCAAATTTCCAACTCATTGTCAATTTTATAATGTGGAATGTTCATTTATCCCTGCAAAATGCCTCCTGAAATACTTGAAAAGCAAGAGCAATATGAGAAATGTAAATAAGTCTATGCAAGAACTTAGATCTCTTGCATAGACTTCACTAATGTTTTCTTGCTGACCTTCTGTAAAGCTGCTGAATAGCTTGCTTTATAGGAGAAATAAGAATTAACTTTTTTTTGTAAAGCTGGAAGAACTTCTACCACAAAAGTCTTTATGAAAACACAAATTCTAGACTGCAGTCTTCGCTTTGCTGTGAAGAAATTAAATGAATTCTTCTTTCCAATCTCCTTAACAGATCAGTTTCAAAATTAAAAAATAGCAATACTTAAAATACCTTCTGAAGACAGTATTATGGAGTGATTCTCAAACAGTGCTGCAAGTGAAGCAAGAATCACCTGTCCAATCTCTCCTTACAATTGAATATTTACTAAAGAAATCAAGACATTGAATAGGCCCATTCATTCAGTTATATATGACTCCACTCTATAATGTAACAGTTCCAGTTTGGCTGACCAAGTGTGCGTAGCATACATCACATATGGCTGTCAGTTGGACCAAAGCTTCTTAAACTTTTTCCACTCACAGATCTGTTTTCTGAGAAAATTATATGGGACCCCAGATATAGAAAATACATATACAAATCAAGCCTTTTTCTGGCAGTAAATCACATTTACTTATTTTATATATTTATTTTATAACAATTTGCACCATGTTGAGTCATTGTGGAAAGAAGGAGTCTGAAGCATGAATGGGACACCCAGGTCAGAAGGCAAAATAGGTGAAAGAGGAGAGGAAGAATCCAGTGTAGACTACACCTCTCTCACTGACAAAGACCCAACAGGAAGGAAAGACTCCACAGACTGCCAAGATGGGAAGAAATGTCCCAGATGGGAAGAAAAGGCAAGACAGGGAAAAAGGGATAGACACAAGACCCATAATTTGCTCCGACCCCAATATAAAACTATGAAGACCCCATTTGGAATTGCGACCCACACTTTCAAGAAGCTTTTGAGTTGGACAACACTAGCTACCAGATGCCTATTGTTGGTTATCTACCTAATTTTTTTCTAGTCTGTGTGAGAGAGAAAACACATACGTACACAGACAGACACACAAACAAAAGGTATTTCACCATGTATTAAAATAGCAAGTTTTCAGTAGGCATGGCTCCACAAATAGTTTTGAAATGGCAAGAGCTAATGGTAAAATGCTTCCCAACCTAACAAAGCAAGATTTAAGAAGAGATACTTTTTTGCTGTCTGAATTTTTCTTTTATCTGTGCCAAATAAACATGTGATGACATATCACCTTAACCAAGTACATTTCAGAACCAGGGTGGGTTTTTTTTTCTTCACCTTTCCTGCATGCGTCCATGAAAAGGATTGAAAGTGTGATTGGAAACTTCAATATAGGAAAAAGATAC